ATTCATTCCAAATCATTTTATTAAATTCAAGTAAATCAAAAGAAAAATTTTAGGGGCACCTGGGTGGCTCGATAGTTAAGCATCTGCCTTTGGCTCAGGTCATGATCCCAGGGGCCTGGGATTGAGCCCCGAATCAGGCTCCCAGCTCGGCAGGAGGCCTGCTTCTCCCTCTCCCTCTGCCATTCCCTCTGCTTGTGCTCTCTGGCTCTATCTCTCTGTCAAATAAATAAATGAAATCTTAAAAAAAATTTTTTAGTGTACTAATCAAACTCAGTATTAATCATATATTCAATGTATTCAAGCTGTTTACTAGTGCCTTTATAATAGGACTTCAATAATACTAAGATGGTTAATTTTATGTGTCAACTGAGCTGGCCCATGGGGTGCCCAAATATTTGTTCTAACTTATTCTGGGTGTGTCTGTGAAGATGTTTCTGCACAAGATTAACATCTGAATTGGTAGACTGAGCAAAACAGATTGCCTTCCCTAATGAGCCCCATTCAATCAGTTGAAGGTCTGAATAGAACAAAAAGGCTGAAGGGTCCTGGGAGGCTCAGTCGGTTAATCATCCGACTCTTGATTTCAGCTTACGTCATGATCTCAGGGTTGTGAGCTCGAGCCCCATGTCAGGCTCCGTGCTGGGCGTGGAACCTGCTTAAGATTCTCCCTCTCCCTCTGCCCCTCCCTGCACTGTCCCCCTCTCTCTGGAAAAAAAAAAAAAATTTTTTTTTTTAAGTGTTAAAAAAAAACCACCACATAATAAAAAAGCTGACACTCCCTCAAATAGAAGGGAATTCCTCCTGCCTGACTGTCTTCCAGCTGGGACATTGGTTTCTTTCCTTGCCTTTGGATTCAGACTGAGACATCAGTTCTTCCTGGGTCTCAAGCCTGTTGGCCCTCAGACTGGAACTAGAACATTGGCTCTCCTGGGTCTCCCATGTGCTGACTGCAGATCTTGGGACTTGTCGGCCTCCACAACTGCGTGGGCCAATTCCTTATAATATATATAAAATATATTATAAATATATATAAATATATTAATGTTAGTTATGTATTAATACATAATATTTTATAATATTAATATAATAAATATATAAATATAAATTATATATAAAATATAAAAATCTATAAATTATATATATGCACAAACATATACATAGTTTATATGCACACATATATACATAGATATATCCCACTGGTTCTGTTTCCCTAGAGAACCCGAAAATAACTCCTATACATTACCAACTAGATAGTTAACATATATGAGGTCTTAACCAGGAGTCAACCAGTTGTGCCTTCCACCCACCTTCACACTGCATCTCCTCATCCTGGCCGAAGACCCTATCACTATCCCAGGTCCTCTCTGCCCCTGTCCAGTCTCCTCCCCACACCACAGCCAGGATGGACCTTTACAAATGTCAATGAGATCATGATATTCCTCTGCTCCAAACAATTTAACAGCTTTCAGGTGTTCTCACATTAAAACCCAAATACCTTACCCTGGCCAACAAGGTCTTGGCTGCCGTGGCCCATCCATCCCCCTCTGCTACTACTCTCTGTCACACGGACCTTCCCCCAGTTCCCTGAATGAGCCACATTTTTCCTGCCTGCCTCAGAATGTTCCCACATGCTATCCCCTCTCTTGAAGTTTCTTCTCCTGGATCCTAGCATGTCTAGTTCCCTTTCATCCTTCAAGTCTAAATGTTACCTCCTCAGCAAAGGCTTCCCCAACCCCTTTATACTAAATCAAACTTCTCCCGTGACTCTCTACTCCAGATTCCTGTCTGTTCCTTTCATAGCCTTTCCCCTTTTGAAATGAATTAATTATTGGCCTGTTGACTTGTTTATTGTCTTTCTTCCACAAAACGGACAGAATTTTTCCATTTCTGGTATCCCAGACAGGAACATCCTTTCTATTTGGTAGGGGAAGAGTAGGCAACCCAATGGTCCTTAAAAGGGCGAGGACACATGGCAGTGTGGCCCCTGCAATGCTACAGACAGACCTTGGGGCCTTGAGGAGTGAGGCAAAGATGGAGGACAGTGAAGACCTTTCCCAACCTGGTAGTGGTGAAGGAGGGAGGTGGCCAGAGCAAGTGCCCAAGGATGGTGGTGCCAGGGGTGTCAGAGCTAGGGGCAGCAGGAGGGGGTGTCTTGGCCTGACTTCGGCTGTGTTCTCAGGTGTTTGTCACTGCCCATTTTCCAAGACCAGCTCTCCAGCCTGCCCACACCCCTCTCAGAAATTCCTTTTCTGCCCAAGTCGGCCCCAGCTAATGTTGGTCATATACAACTCTACACACTGGATTCTGGTGAGCAGGCACCTGGTCTGCGTCACTCCTGTCATGTACTCTCAGCACTGTGCCTGGCATGTATAGGGACTCAGGGAACGTAAGCTGAATGCAGGGAAGAATAGACTCAGGGCTAGCTGGGTGGTGGGCTGAGGAATGTTGAAGGAGAAAGGGCCACATATTTCCATTGGCCTCTGTCCTCAGAAGGCTAAAAAGATTAGCAGGTGTGGGGTGCTTGGCTGGCTTAGTGGGTGGAGCGTGCAACTCTTGATCTCAGGGTTGTGAGTTTGAGCCCCATATTGGATGTAGAGATTACTTAAAAATAAAATCTTAGAGGAAAAAAAAAAAGGATAGAAGGCATGATCACTGTAATGCTCTGCAAATTTCACCAAACTTTCTTCCCAAAAGGTACTAATTCTACTCCCACCAGCAGTGCCAGAGACCACCTACCCTCCTGCATACCCTTTTCACTTGTTACACCACAGTGTTGGGACATTCAAGGAGAAGAGGTGTGATGTAGTGAGTGAAGGCTGCATGGGAAGGGCTGGAAGCATGTCTGGCAGGCCCAGATGGTGGAGCATGTGACTCTCGATCTCAGGATTGTGAGTTTGAGCCCCACGTTGAGTGTAGAGATTACTTAAAAAATACAATCTTTAAAGAAAAAAAAGAAAGGGGTTGGAGATGTGAAGCCTTGGGGAAAGGTTCGTAACGGTCTTATTTGAGCAATGATGAAACAATTTATGGATTTTGACTCTAAGGGCTGATCAAGGTTAAAAATTAAAATTTCTTAGGGCATCTTGCTGGCTCAGCAGGGCATGTGACTCTTGACCTCGGGGTCATGAGTTCAAGCCCCAACTGGGGGTAGAGTTTACTTAAATAATAATAAAATAAAATAAAAATTTCTTATGGAAAAATCTGCAAAAATCCACAGCTATATGACAGATTCATGATGGATTCCTCTACCTGGGGCTAGATCTTTAATCCTTTGAGAGAATTGGAGGTGTGTAACTGAGCTATATCATTGCCTCTTCTAAGTTCATACACTAGGAAAAACTGAGCTCTGTGTTGCATGGCCCATGGGCCTGACCTTGCATGACAATTCTGATGCTTACAGAAGAATATATGCAATTAGAATGAGGATAAGAGTCCATTAACCAATCCTTTCCTACCCCTACAAAGACAGTAAAATTCACCTATGAATTTCAACCATGCTTATGACTTAATAATAGGTATTTATGCCAGCATCTATAATAACTGAGGCCTACTTATATTCTCACTTTGCTAAGTTCCCAAGTGCCCGGAGAGATTCCCTATTCTGAGGAACTGTTTCAGTCACTATGGCAACAGTGCACAGAGAAGGGGGAAGCTTTCCCTGGGCACGAGAGTAAAAGAACAGCTATTTGTCCTCCCACTGGCAGAACAGGGCCATTCGTGAGATTAGCATGTGGTGGAAATACACATAAGCACGCAGCCCGCTTCAGAAAAGCCGAGAAAACATTTTCCGGGCAAACTCTCTCATGAAGCAATTATATCACACCTTAATCAAGTGCTCCACTGTGTACTGAAATGAAGAAATAGTTTTTTTGTGTCCGAAGGAGACACGTAAGATAGCAGTTTGTGGTCAACTGTGGGTTTCCTTCTAAGCCCTGGGCACAGGATGAGGCAACCCAGGGGCTGCTGACCAGCCTTTCGGCCATTGAGGGGTGCCATGTACAAAGAGGCGGGTTGGTGAGGGAATTCCCTCTTAACCTATCCTTGCCATGGAACCCCAGAAGAAGGGGTGGGCATTGGATAAAGGGCAGGCTTAGCAGGATTGGGGGGTGGGGGGGAGGAAGCCATACTTGTGCCCAGTTTGGTGAAGTTTGTGTCGTACTGTTCAGAGCAGATCTCTGCCTCCTCAGACCATCAGAATACCAACCGGCAAAGCAAGTGACCCCTGCAGTGGAGGTCTTTCTTCACATAGACAAGAAAGCAAACAAGCAACCATGTCAAAAATTTAAGATACTCATGATGCTAAGTGAAATAAGCCGGACATAAAAGGACAAATACTGTATGTTTCCACCTATACGAGGTACTCAAGAGTACCTCAAGTTCAGACAGGAAGTAGAATGGTGGTGGAATGGGGATGGGGAGTTCTTATTTAATGGGACGAGAGTTTCAGTTTGGGAAGATTAAAAGTTCAGGAGATGATGGCAATGGTTGCACAACACTGAGAATGTACTTAATGCCACTGAATGGTCCACTTTAAAATAGTTAAAATGGCAAATTGTGTATTATGTGTATTTTACCACAACGAAAAAAAAAAAAAACAGTTACCAAATCTGTTTCCCTTGTCATATCCATGCTATCATTTCACAAACGGAAATGTATTATCAACTTCAGTATTGATCATGCATCCAATAAATACTGAGTCCACCGCAAGCTGGCCCTTGCCCAGTATGGGCTGCGTGTGGGCTGAGCAAGCATGGTCACGAGCTATGCGTTCAGCACACCCTCGCTGTCGCGCATGCGTCTGCCTGGTATGGCTGCAGGACTCTAGTTCTCCAGATGCATGCAAGTTTGTGTGGGGATGAGTCCCAGAATCAGGGAATAACCCCTACCACAGTGTGACCATGAATGGGTCCCAAGAAAGGGGGCAAGTTTTCCATGAGAACAGAGACCCACGTTTATACCCCATATGGATTAGTCTTTATTAATAACTGAGGCATGGGTACCTTTCAGAGTTGCTCTTCGTGTGGCACTCAGGCGTCTGGTAGAACCTCTGAGAGTTAACACTGCCATTTTTCTGAAAGGAAGATGAGGGGAGGGAAGAGTTTGATACTGGCTAAGCCCAGCCAGCCCAGCAGCTGACAAGAGGAAGAGGAGAGCAGGGAGGCTCTTTGAGAGGAGGTGAGGGAGAGGAAGAGAATGAGGAAAGGGAAAGGAAGGAGGAGAAAGATAGGGGAAAGTTGGGGTGGATAAGAAAAGTGTCAGTGAAGGAAGGCAGGCGGAAGTGAGGGTGCATAAAGGGACAGTGGGGGAGGGGAGGCAAGAAGAGAGGAGCTTTGTTTTTCCTCAGAGCTCCTTGTTTTGTGTTGAGGAGGGGATGACAATAGAGCATGTGCCTGTTACTGGGTATTCACAGTAATCCCACTTTCTTGCTCTACTTTTGGTGAGAGAAGGAGGAGCAGAAGTTTTATCTGAACGGAAAACTGGAGGGATTTTTTTTTCTTGGAGTGACACTGAGGTCAAGAGGGAAACCTGCACTCCTTCACTGAACACGTTTAAGAACACAATGCGATTAGCATCTCTTCTGTTTCTGGGCTGATTCCACCGGGGGCTCCTAGAAACACAAAGAAGTCCAAGGATGTTGTTCATTAATAGTTAACTGTTGATGTTGCTGAGGACTGGGTCCAGGAATGACACTCTCCCTCTGCCCACAGAGATTTGATAGATGAATTAACAAGTGTAATCCCATCATCACAAACTATGAGAGAGAGTACCTGTCAAGCACAGAACATGGGAGCTTTTTGGTAAATTGTAATAAAAGCCTAAAGGATATGCCGTCCGATTTCCCTGTGCCTCTGTAGAGATACTTGGAATTCTGGATCATGAATCTCTGAGTGTGAGGAATAGAGCATACTTGTTCCATTCCTGACCAAAGGTGAACATTCAGAGGACAGCCGTCTGTTTAGATGGTTCATTGTTCGCATCCCTGCCTAAGAAGATCTGATTCTAAAACAAGTTGCAGAAAAGACAGTATTTCATGGTTAATGTATTAAAACAGCCAGTGGAGAGTAAAGGAAATATTACCATGGGTCCACCAGAAAATTTCATAAAAAAGACCATTCACTAAATTTCTCCATTTAGAGATTCCATTAGTAAATGGGTTATTCTATCTCAAAAACTTATAAATTTAAAGCTGAGATGATTATTTCCTGGCAGAGCTTTAGAGGTAACTGACAAATGTGAACTAGAAAGATCAATTTCTCCTTAACTTTTTTTTTTTTCCCCCTCCTTAACTTTTTTTTAAAGGTCACGAAAGAAGACTGTCAACCTGACAGATGTAACCATGGATTCTTTCACAGAGTTCTTCAAAAGCTCAAAGGCTGCTAAATATGTCAAATTAATGCATCTCCCCCATGACTGGGTTCTTTGATATGAAAGTAATCATGGGAGATTTTTTTTTCCCCTCCAGAAAATGGCTCTGCAATTTTGAGAAAATAGTTTTCTCCACATCTTAAATTTTTTTTTTGTAACCGTCATGAAAATGATGTGGGTTAATGGAATCTCCATTTTCTCCCTAGATTCTCTCAAAAATTCCTTTCAAGTGTCAATCTCAATGAAATAAGGCCAGAATGCTACATAGCTTAGAATTTTGATATTTTGTTAGCTCTAGCCCTTTGATTATCCTGATTTGTAGATTTTGGGAGGATTTAATATTGATCTCTCTCTAGCACTGAATAATTTTTAGAAAAAAACACAGTCTGAGTCTAATTGCCAGACCCAAACCACACACACGAAAGCTGTGAATACAAGCTGTGATCACGAATCACGTGTGCGTGGCTTTGATTGTGTGGGACCCACTATAAGATTAAGATTTTTTTTTCCTTCTTAATTATTCAGAGCTAAGTGTGAAAAAAATTAAAACTAAACATATGGATGTGATCATGAAGGCTTTTTCTAACATAGTTGCTTGTTGTTTTTTTCTTTCTAAGTATGTGTAATGCGCTACTGGCACTAATTCCTTTAAGTATCTATTTAAGGCCAGACTTCCTAGAACTTGCTCTAATTTTAGGGGAGCTTAGGGTTGTTTTTTTTTTTTTCTTAATCCAGTGCCACACTTAGCATCCACCAGCTCAAAGTACAAAAGGGCTTCTTTTCCTTTTATTTTTAGACCCCCCCAAACCACTCTTTTTAGTAAGTTTTTAATTTTAATTCCAGTATAGTTAACCAAAAAACCACTTTTTTTTTATTTTTTATTTATTTTATTTTTATTTTTTTAAAGATTTTATTTATTTATTTGACAGAGAAAGACACAGCGAGAGAGGGAACACAAGCAGGGGGAGTGGGAGAGAGAGAAGCAGACTCCCCGCCGAGCAGGGAGCCCGATGCGGGACTCGATCCAGGGACTCCAGGATCATGACCTGAGCCGAAGGCAGTCGCTTAACCAACTGAGCCACCCAGGCGCCCAAAAAAACCACTCTTAATGAATATGTATTGTTACTTAGTTTTTGGTGGAATGAACTGGTCAGTCTTCAGGCAGAAACATTTTCATTGTAAATACAAGAGAATAAAATGAAAAATTAAGAGGGGAATCCTTTCTACAAGCTGTATGTCCATGATAATCTATGTTTTGGTTTACTTGTGACTTGATTCACAGTTTTCTAGGATAATGACAAGAGAGATGAAATAGGTTATTTAGAGACCAACATAACCAGACAATTTTTTTATGTTTGTCTTTGGAATGCATTAACTAATTTTAAAAGCTAATTTAATTTTACATTCTATCAGACTAACACTGATATTTGTCTTCCTTTGGAATGTGCTAATGATATGCTATGAGGTAGGCGGCTCAGAAGACCGTTGGGTGACAAGGACAGACCACGTGAGATTGAAAAGTTGTTGAAGGTTTTCATGGCACCAAATGGACAATTTCCAAATGATTCTTCCTCTGGCTCTAGTTTCCAGAAATGCAAGCAAGATACAGGGGAACACTAAGCTACAAGTCAGGAGACCTAAAACATCCATTCTTAGACAGACCAGCCTGAGATTTCTGCTTCTGACTACCTGGCTCATTTCCCAATGACTCCTGGGTACCCTGGTCCCATTCTTCCATCTCATATCTTCTTTCCATTCCCACTTGGGCCTCCCAAAGTTCTTGCTGACTCTACTTCTAGCTGAACTCACATTTCTTTGCTAACCCCAAGCGCCTAGATTCATTTCCATGGGGAATTCAATTGCCATCCATGTCTTGGAATTGGTCCTAACTCTGCTGGTCATTTCTGCCTTCCCCCTGGTTCGGCTCACTTGGCTTGGGTTAGGCTGGAGGACCTAGCAGAAGGCCAACCAGCTCCCAGTCAGTTGATGTTTGATTAGATTATCCTTGCCAGATCTCTGTGCCTGTAATACAAGTTCTAAATACAAGAGGATCTATTTTGGTTCAAAAACCAAATAAGAGAGCAAACTTTGCAGTAGTTTTCCATGGCGCCCAGCATTAAGAGCATTTTAAAGAGGCACAACCTTAGAGCTCAGTTTATCCCATTCCCAGCAAGACCAGTAGACTGCAATAACAATCCAAAGGCAGGGAAAACGATAGGATATTAAATTACAGAATACCAACATTTGCATAGTAATTCCCACTAATTAAGAAAGAAAGATATAAGTTGTTTGTTATAAACACCACCAGGTCTTGAGCAAACACCAAGAGCTCACCACAGAGCCAAACCAAGCATTTGTCTAATCAAAGCCACTTTCTAAAGCGTTTTATTAGTACAGCTGCAGAGCACACATTTTATCACACATGCTAATAATCCCAGTTATGGCGCCTACATTTTAATCATTTGTTCTAGGCTTGTTTCTCAAACAATTAACACTAATGAATGGTCAGAATACCTCGGATCATATATGTCTAATTGCAGTCAAGAGCAGTTCTTGTCTGCATGTACATTTCAATTTACCTCTGGGGATAATGTTTGTTAATTGTATTTCTTTATACGAAAGCGAAGAAAAAGGCAGTTCAGGCAAAAAGGGACTAAGTGTTCTCCTCTCTCCCTTTGTTCCCACAAGAAGCTAAAGTCACTTCAAGAGGCACTTAATCCCATCATCCGCGGTTAGCATCAATCAAAAAGAATCTGAAGTAAAATGATGCAGCTATATTGTGTAATTAAAAGCAATTCAGGTAGTTATTGCTTGGGGCCCTCTACGGGTCCAAATACTTAAAATGGCCCTGCAGGGATCCTAAACACTGTAGTGTTTTAAATTTGGTCAGCAACAATATCTGGAGGAAAGGGAAGAATATGCAAAAAAACAAAACACAAAAAACAAAACAAAAAAAACCTTCCCACAAAATCCCACAAAAACAAAAACCCAAAACAAGAAAAAAAAGCCTACCACCCTGTCCTAGTGTGAACTGTAAAACAAAAGAAAAGAAGAGGGAGAGCAAAAGTCTGAGGTGAAAAAGCCCCACAATCCCCAGCTACAAAATGAAATAAACATAGAAGGGCAGGAAGGAGAAAAAAGAAAACAACTGATATTTTCCGAATTCAACAGTCCCTTTCCCAACCCAACTTCCGCACTTAAGGAAAAAAATGTGTACCAATGTTGGCTGGGTCTCTTCAACATGAAATGGAACAGCTTTGTAGGATCTATAATATGACAAGCAGAGACTATCTGAAAACCCAAACTTACTAAGAAAATATGAAGTAAATTTATGGTGTGTCTAATTCCACAGTTACTCATAAAGGCAAGAAGTGAAAAGTACTTTTTAAAAGTTTGGCACAAATTTCTACTGCAATTCACTTAAATCATTAAGAAAAAATAAGTGCTGAAGCTTTCAGGCTTCTTATTTGGCTTCTTAAGCGAACAAGAGTTTAACATAGTGTTTTCTGCTATGTGCCTTTAACAAAGAGCCATCCTTGACAGAAGGTTGGGAACAGGCATAATTCTCTGGTTTTGATTCTTGGCTAAAATATTTTTAAGTAAAAGCACAACTCCTCAAAGGATGTAAGACTAGATGTTAAAACAACAACGTGTGTTTAAGTGTTACCATCATTTCCCCCTTTATAATAAAACCGGGAAAGAACG